CAGTGAGATATCACCTTACACCTGCTAGAAAGGCCATCATCAAAAAGACAAGAAATAATAAATGCTGGCATGGGTGTAGAGAAATGAGAACCCTTGTGCACTGTCAGTGGGATTATAAATTGGAACAGTCATTATGGAAAACAGTATGGAGGATCTTCAAAACCCTAAAAATAGAACCACTATATGATCCAGCAATTCCACTTTCTGAGAATATATCCAAAGGAAACAAAAACACTAACTTGAGACAATATCTGCATCCCTATGTTCGTAGCAGCATTATTTATAATAGTCAGGACATGAAAACAGCCTAAGTATTCATTGATGGATGAATGGATAAACAAGTTGCAGTACGTATATACAATAGAATATTATTCAGCAATAAAAAAAAGAGGAAATCTTACCATTTATGACAACATGGATGGATTTTGAGGGCATTATACTAAATGAAATAAGTCAGACAGAGAAAAGCAAAAATCATCCATATGATCTCACTTATATGTGAAATGGAATCTTAAAAAAAAATTCCAGACTCAGAAAAAATGATCAGACTTGCTACCAGAGATTGAGAAAGGCAAAAACTTACAGTTACAAAATAAATAAGAATTAGGGATGAAATGTATAACATGATGCAGAGCTAACACTGCTGTATGAGTATGATATATAGGAAAGCTGTTAAGAGAATAAATACTGTGATTTCTCATTACAAGGAGAAAATTTTTTATCTTTATTTTCTTTTTATTGTGCTCTATGAAAAGATGGATGTTAACTGAATCTATTCTGGTAATTGTTTCACAATATATGTAAATGAAACCATCATGTGCTATGCTTTAAACATATACAGTGATGTAAGTCAATTATTTCTCAATAAAACTGGAAAAATAAATAAACAAATAATAACCTTTCTGAGCCTTAAGAAAGAAGGTGGGGATGGGAGAATAGGCTTATTATATCACTTAATGCATGCTATTCAGAAAAGGTAAAGAAATTGTAGGCAGAATAATAATCGATTATTACACTGGTTTATCTTTTAACAATAGTTTACTTCTTTTTTTAGCATCTCTACTTCCTGGTATTAAAAGCAAATAAACAAACAAACCAAACACTAACACCTTCAACTGTTTGCCCTGGCACTAATAACTCCAAAAGTATTATTGTTTTCCTATTAATGAAAATTAAGAATAAAGATATAAACAGATGAATATTAATATTCATTGCATTAAACTAGTCTAATTAGGAATTAGATAACTCAACTTTCATTGTTTTCCCATTGCTTCTCATCTCACACATGTAAATATAAACAATAATCTTTACTTAATGCTATAGACTGAGCTCATTATAGAATAAACTACATTTATTTTCACAGTATTCATAAGGGAAAAAATGAAGTATAAGTATGAAAAACTCAGTGAAGAAAGATATTAAAGAAGTTGTTTTTGTACAATTTCCAGGTATTAAGACATGGTGTGGCCTTCCTGGACCCTCACTCAGAAAACTATTGAGGTAAAATCCCTGGTGCTGAAATGGAGTGGAATTCTAGAGGCCACAGCTACCTGCATTAAAAGTATTCAAGCAGTTTAGCCGTTTGGTGGCAAGAACCCTCATTGGTAACCTGGGCTCACAGGTTTACACTGAAAAGGAAACAAGTGGCCCGTGCTGACCAGGAGGCATAGCAGCATTGTCTGATAAGCATCAAGTTTCTATTCTAGGGGGTGTGAAGACCCCAAGGAAGCCCACTGTAGAGATCTAGACAGTGATGACATGTGAGAACACTGCTGAGAACCAATTCCAAGAAGCAAGGTCAGGAGTTATGTGCAGAGGGAGAAAAGTATTCTTGGCTGCAGATAGCCCCTGAGAATAAAAAAATAACTAAAATATTTTAGTGGCTTTATTTTCTGTTTGTTAAAGAGAATCTAAACAAGTAAGGATGCTGTGCTCAAGCCACAGAACATTATCATTTTTTAATTGCTTGCCTTGTTTCAGTCCTTGCTTTCTTCAAGTATGTCAAGTATGAATGTAGCTGAACCGCTACACATGAAGCGTAAGAGCTGATGTTCCCAGATAATCGGGGAATCCAGAGGCCTAGGCAACTCCAGAGACCTTACAGATGAGGAAACGGAAGCCCTAAGCAGTAAAATAAATGAAATATATTTAAAAGTAGTAGATTATGAATTAATATTTATAGTATTTATTATAATAGTATACATGTGGAGCCAGCCAAGTGGCTCAGTTGGTTAAGAGTGCGAGCTCTGAGCGACAGGGTCACCGGTTCAATTCCCACGTGGGCCAGTGAGCTGCTCCCGAGTTGAGCTGCCAACAGTTGGCAGTATGGTTCAGCTGGTGAGAGCACGTACTCCTAACAACAAGGTTGCCTGTTTGACTTCTGCATGGGATGGTGGCCTGTCCCCACCAGCAACTAAGATTGAACATGGCACCTTGAGCTGAGTGGGCACGAGCTGCCAACGGGCAGCTGGATGGTGACTAAACTTGGAGCTGAACTACGTGCTCCCTCCACAACTAAAATTGAAGGACAACAACTTGGCTGTTTCTCTTCCCCAATTCCCCAACACTATTCCCCATCCCCAATTCCCCAATAAAATCTTAAAAAATAAAAATATTAATAATAATAATAATAGTATACATGTGTTACACTGAATAGAAAACATACATAATACTATACCTTACATGGAAATCATAGTGAAAACATAAATGTTCATACGTAAACACTCAATAAATAAGTAAAGGTGTTTCCTATAGACTGTCACAGAAAATAAATGTTCACACAGGTGTTTTTCTCATTTAAGAACTGATTGAGTCTACTTGTCAAAAGTCTTAATTTTAATTCAGTCCTAATTAGGCATAAAATAAGACCCTTCTTAACATTTATACGTTCTTAGTGTTGGAAAGAATCACCAAATGCACTTTCGTATTCAGATTTGAGTTTGGAAAGCAGCAACAATGCTCCATGGCTCTTCCCTACCATTTTATTCCCTGCAGCTCCCATAAAAAGAAGAAACACATAAGAAAATGAGAGAACCCCCAATAGTTCCTCCACTAAGGATCCAGCCTATAAAATGATTCCTGAGAGACATTGCCAGTCTTTGGTTTCACTGGGCCCAAGCAGGAGATTTTAGGGTCAATAACAGTCCCTGCTTGCTTTTCAACCCACCAGATCCCAAGTATCCACTGTCAAGACCGTGCTTTATCTATTTTATGTTCAACAACCACTAATCTAAGCTTCCCCTCCCCCACTCACCATACCACTACTGTGCCTGGCACTTGCTTGGACAAACGAATGAACAGACAGATGAGCAGATAGACAGATGGATGAACTAAGTACATAAATAAGTGAATAAGTACATAAAATTTTCCTCTTTGGCTCCACTATAATTCATAGGATTTATTCAAATATCTGGGTAAAGTCTTTATCTCCTCCTCTGGGGAAATACTGTCATTATTTTTCTTGTTGAAATTTACTAAATATTTGTAGCTGGTGAGTTTCTAATCATAATAAAAACCAAAAGATATCATATTTGGGTAGCGTAACTCTATATCTGGGACTCAAGTAAAACTGTCTAGTGATGAAAATGTAGTGAGAAATTAGCATCTTCTAAATGTTACCTTCTAAGTTTTCTAGACCTGTGTGTGCCTATCAGAAAGAAAAGGGGCTGAGATCTGAGATTAGAGTTAGGGCTGGAGTTGATGCTTTAAATGTTTAGAGAGAGAGTGAGAGAGACTTTCGACCTGAAAGTGTAGTTTAAGGAAGACCTATGATATACCTGCAAATGAAATGCACTCTGTTGTTAAAGTGAGGCATGACTTATTTTACAGCCAAAGAAAAGGCAGAGTGTTAAATGCAGCATTTGTTGACATTAATGAAAACACACCCAGGGCCTTTGGGTACCCATACTGAGATAGAAGTCATTTCTTCAACAGCAACCTGCCTGGCTCACTCTCACTTAGCAGGGGAGGCGTGTTTCAATTAGAAGGCTCTTGCCAGTATTTCCTCATACTTTCTAGACAGCTCTTTGGAGATTAGAGGGTTACAGATAGGTAGGAAGGAAAACTCATTACCTGCCCTCAAAGAGTTGAGAAATAAAGTGTGGGTTTGTACTACTCACGGCTCTGCCTGTAGGCTCCTGTCCTCCGCCACATAGTTAGAAGGAATATAGCCCTTCAGCTGCTGGCCGGACTCTCCTTTTTTCTCCAAGTGCCTAGCGAACCACCAGCCTTCCTGGGAGGTGTCCAGGATTTGGAGCTTGTCGCCCACACAGAAGCTCAGGTCCTCTGCAGTCCGAGCCTGGTAATCAAACAGGGCCACAAAGTAGTGGCCATGGCTTCTTTTGGGCTTCTGGTCAGGGGAGCAGCACATCCCTAGGTTCTCAATCCCCTCTGGCTTGTCCGCCTCCTGGAACAAGCAAGGGAAACAGGGCCTCATGTACGCCCGGAGCCTCTGGATAATAACATTGCCCATGCTGCCCTGGCAGAGAGCAGAGGAGAGGGGCTTGTCCCTCTCCCCTTTGTCTGCAGAGCCACTTTCTCTTCCTCCACCAGGCAACTTTGAAATCAGCACCAATTCACCAGGCTTTGAAGAGTAGGCAAAGACCCGTTTCACAATAACAGCCCAGCAGACCTGGCTGCTTGGAAAGACTCACAGGCTTACTTTCTGTGGCTGTAGCTGCTGTGTCCCAGAGCAGAACAGAGTGAGAGCTGGACGGTTGCTCAGTGGAAAGATGCCTTTTCTTCTTGTCTGCTTAGGAATCCCACCACAAAAATAAAATTATGAGGGCTTTGTTTAGACAAACATCTGAGAGCAGAGAAGAGTCACCCTGCTTTTTGTCCCAGGGAAAAGTTAAGAAGAGAAAAATGGTAAGTCCAGGTAAGATCGCTGCTCCTTGCCTTTGCCAGGAGCTCTCTCCCAGATTCAGGTCTGTCTCTACGGTCTGAACAGCCGTGGCCCCCACTGCTCTTGCCTTTTTGCTAATGAATGCCCTATCAGCGGAGGCTATTGCCTTTAACATCCTGAGCTATGATCGGACTGTAATAATTTCTCCTTACTTCCTGGTTTCTTTTTGTCTGTGATCTAAATGACATTCCTGTCCTCTCTACCTCTCCCTTCTCCCACACCCAAGAGAGACCAGCGCCCTCGTCAGGGAGCCAGGCTCTTAAAGCCCGTGCCAAAAATCCCTACTCCTGGACAAACAGGTCAGCCCAGGGAGCGTTTTGTCCTGCTATGCTCCCAGCACAGAAATTACGGGCAGATGTTCCCCCCCACAGCACCCCCGAAGAATTAATAGGATTGTTTTTCCACCACTAGGGGAAATCCAAAAGGCAAATTAAAGTGTTCAGGTATTTGTTACTGGACAAAGGGAAATTTGGGAAAGAACCATTGAGTCCCTACCTTTTTTCATCACCATGAGTAGATTTTAATAGCTTCAACATCTATTTACAGTCTGGAAAGTATGAAAGCAGCTGAACTAAAACGCTGAGAACCCGAAACACTGTCTTTTCCCACAGAGACATTTAATTTCCTATCTCTCATGTACTATTTCTGAAACTCATGTGCACGCACAGACTAGGTGACCAGTGGAGAGAAAGAGTGGAAGGGCTGTGCGTGTGCTGCTGTGAGGCTCGTTCTGTTCAGCTTTGATTTCCAAGTCTATATTATTTCCTACTAATTTTGCTGGCAGGAGCGCAGGACCTAATGAAGCAGAGACCAGGACAGTGATCCCGACAGGCAGTGGGCTTTGATCTACTTCCCCCAGTTTAGGGCAACTGCCTTGCACGTGTATCCTGGGTCCCAAGAATACCTGGGCAATGAGTTTCAGTGGATCAACACACTGCCATTTCTGCTTGCAGACAGCACTGCAAACTTGTTTATGATATGTCACTTGTTTTTGTATATTTATTAAAATTTCCTCTCTTAAAAACAACTCCTCTAAATGCTGGCAAAACCCTTGAACCTGGCTAACCTAGTCCCAGTACAATCTCAAAATTCTTGTTCTTTGTCAGACAGCAGGCATTTTTAATTATCAGAAAAATCCAACTCAAGGGGGAAAAAAAAAGGACGGAAAGAAAACCAGAGAACCATGGCCACGGCCCCACCTGCCATTACTTAATACATTCATGGTGGACAGGTCATTGGGTTAGAACAAGATCTCACGTCATGCTTCTAGGCTTCTCCAATTGTCTTCAGGGTCAGAGAATAGGTACCAATCTGGCAGGAATAGAAAAGCCAAAGGCTGAGCCAGGTTTGTTTGTTTGTTTGTCACATGGGACTAAAATATAATTCCATATGTAAAACAGAGAAGAAAATAGCCATTATATAATATTGAGATGCCATCAGAGTATTTTGTTCCAATCAGAATATAAATTGTAAAAGTGTAAGAGTCTATTAATGTCACTAAACAGAGGCACAGATGTTACAGTTTTTCCAGAGATATCTACATGATCTAGAAATGAAATAAGGTTTAGAAGCAACTAAAGACGTGTATTCGAAACCAATTTGTAAGTGGAGTTCGAGACTTCAAAAATTTGAAGGTTCTACATTCAAATACGCCTCCATTATGGTTCTGAGAAGGCATTCTAGAAAAAGACAAAGTGGCAGGCCTGCACAGCACACTCACTGAGCTAGTGAATAAAAGTGAAAGAGCAATCGGCCACCCAAAAGTGTCAGGCAAGCAATGGCCTGAGAAAGCTGAACCAATGAGTCAGGAGAGAACGGATTTCCTTGTGTCGATAGTACCAGGATTCTGCAGTTACCCAAGCTTGAAGCCTTGCAGCCATCTTTTATTCTTTCCCTGGTTCCTGTGAGCTAATCAATCACCGAATTCTGCTCAGTCTTCCTTTTCACTTATTCTACTTTTTTTATTGGGTTTTTTTTTTGGGGGGGGGGCATTGTTCTCTTTTGTTTGTATTCCTTCTAAATGACAGCTGGGTACTGGACAAAAAAATAAATAAAAAATAATAAAATAGAAAAATGTTCTTCCCTAAATTATCCCAGAGCTCTCCTGCTTAGTCTCCCTTCCTCCAGCTTCTCCTCTTCCACTGATTCGTCTTGCACACTGCTTGGTTTTTATAATGACAATAATACCACAGGTGATATGAGTACTAGGAAGAGTAGCTATCAGTTTGGGGGAGCTTTCTCGGTGCCACGTACAGTGCTAGGAATGTTAAAAATGATACATCATTTAATTCTCAGATAATAAAAACAACAATACCTATGAGGAAGGTAATATATATATTTTTTAATCTTAGAGAAGAAACTAGGGCTTAGAGAGAATAGGTAACTTGCCCGAGGTCACAGAACCACCAAGTGGCTGAACCATGAGTAACACACCCCAGTCTCAGTCTGACTCCAGAGCCACAGGTCCTGTCTCCATGACTCTGAAAAAAAAAAAAAAAACTGATGTCATTCTCCTGTGTAAAATCCTTAAGGGAACCTCCACCATGTTTTGAATAAAACCTAAACTCTTCGGGAGGACCCACAAGGCCCTGCTGACTTCTTTAACCTCACAGCCCTTCACTCCTGCACCTCGTCCTGTAATGCAGGTTCACCAGGTAACCGGACGCACCTGAGGCCGGAGGCCCTCAACTTGGCTCCTTTGCTTCTTTCTCTATCTGCTCCCCCAGTGACTTCCTGGGAATTTTCCAGCGACTTCCTTGTGATTTTTACAGGCTGGGTTCAAGTGGTACCTTCTCTGCCATAACAGATTAGAGACCCTCTACTCTTGTCACCCCCAAAACCCGGCACACACTTCTACTTGTTTGCCTATTGAATTCTACTTGGCTCCCTTACTTGCTTGATTTCCCCAGGAGAAAAACATTTCTGTGGATGAAAAGGGGGTTCTGTAGAGAAACTGACTAGCCCAGTGACAGAAAGTAACTTCACAGGATGACCTGATCTTAAATTCCTAACTGGGCAGGTTGTGGTGGGTAGTCACACCCCGAAGGGAGCACATCATTTGTTAATTATTCCGTATCCAATACCTACCTTGATTTCCCCCATCTTCATGCAATCCCTCCTCAATTCCAAATGCATAAAAGAAACTTTGTATTGTCATTCTCTGGAGCGTTTGAGATCTTGTCATCCATTTGGCTCAAATTCTTACAAAAATTCTCAAGTTTGGATGTTCCTATGTCGACATTTCCTTCTCAGAATTTTCATTGAAGAATGAATGTCCAGTATGTAAGTAATACTCAGTAAGTATTTGTGGAAAAAAAGGAAGGAAGGAAGGAAGGAAGAGGGAAGGGATGGGAGAGAGGGAGGGAGGGAGGAGGAAAGGGGAGATGGATTAGGGAGAAAAGGAAAGGAAAGAAAAGGAGAGGAGAGGAGAGGAGAGGAGAGGGGAGGAGCCATTGGAGTGAGATAAACACTTCTGCAAGAATTCACAATTGAGAGCAAAAGTTCTGTAGTGTGCAAAGTGCTGGGAGCACAGAGGAGTGACTTTCTGTCTATTGCCTCTCTCAGTCCCAGCTCCTCTCTTTTTGTTTCCTGAATGTTGAATTCCTTTGCAAGCTCCTAAAGTAGTTTTCCTGCTTACCATTTTTATATCAAACTGCCATCACTTTAATCTTAAATCACTCTCCTGCACAATAACTTTCAACAGATCCTCATTGCCTAGAAGATATGGCTTGGAATTTAAAGCTAAAGAATTTGTACTTCTCTGATCTTTATCAGATATACCCTTTCAACATCCTCCTTCTATTACTGCCTTCCATTAACCCTCCCACTCAGCCAAATTGGTTTACTGTGGCACCACATAGGTCTTGTCCATTTCTACAGCTGAAACTATCTCCTTTGCATTCTTTCAGTCGATGTTTCTTCCCCTCCGAACAGACTCGTGCTGCATCTCAGGGTCTGAATAAAAATTCCCACCTCCTTTAGGCTTTTTGTTCATTTCTGCCAAAATAATTTTTCTCTTCCTTGAAATTCTCTAGCTCCTGCAACCCCTACATCCAACACACACACACACACACACACACACACACACACACACACACACACAACATTAAATAAATTTAACCATGCTCCTATATCTGATTTTTTGAGCAATGCAACAGAAAATTCTATGGCTATTGTTTAGTTTTATACCAGAACAAATTAATGATCCCCAACTCTTGCTAAGCCCTTAGCACTGCTCACATTCTTTTACATGCCAGTCTAGTCAGCAGTCATTCTCTTCATTTTCTCATAGCACCATTTCAAATCATTCACCATTCTTCTCAGGGTCTCTATGGATAACCCCTTTCTCTGATAATGACCTTGTCACAGAAATTCACAAAAATTCAAATCAATTTGACATCAACCAATTCAATTTCTTTTCTTGCATCAGAAAATGTATCTACATCTGCAAATCCCTGCACTTTCCTCCTGGGACAAAAACTTCTACTTGCCTACTCAGTGTCCCATTTCTTCTTCCTTTCTAATAGAACTTTACTTTTACAGAAGCAAAACGCTACATTTCTCAGCTCTCCTAACAGCTAGAAGTGGCCAATAAAAAAATAAGCGGAAGTCATTGGATGGGACTTCTTAAAGAAACCATCTCAGCTGGGAGGTCTACTCTTTCCCTTCTCTCTTTTCTCTTTCCACTTGCTTAGAACTGAGTTGAGATGCCTGGACCTCCAGCAGACCTCTTGGACCATATGGTGACCTTAAAAATATATAAAGAGAGAAAAAAAAGAAACTAATCTCAGGAGTACCTACCTTCAGAGTTGTTTGCAATATGGGAGACAAATTATCTTCCATCTATGTAAGGTATAATTATTTTTACTTGTTATTATATGTACCTAAGACTTATCTTAACTGATATGTTTTAAATGATAGAATAGGTGGTTAAATCCGATGTTTGTGCTCTTGATATTATTCCCTTGTGGGACCTGATTCCATTGGTTAGCTCTCCTCTTGCCTTTCTCAGTAAGTGCCTTCCTCAAAGCCTATCGTCAAGCTCAAGTCTCTAAGGCATTAAAAACAAAGTTGGAGGGCCAGCCGAGTGGCTCAGTTGATTAAGAGC